ATTTTGGAGAGTGGAGCACAAGGATACAACAAAGAATGGCCTCCCACCCCCACAAAGACAAAAATCCTCATCTTCCCAATCCAGGGTCTGTATACTGAAGATACTGGAGAATGCTTTTTCAAAAAAACTGTCATGTGTGAACACTTCGAGGATTCCGTGGTTCAGGGAGCATTGGAAAAGTGTGCTCAGGCCGAATTAAGCTTCTCTACCATGATACGGTTTTCTGATGCCATTAGAAAGTCCATATACAAAGATAAGTCTTGTACAATATCAATATTTAAGTTCCTGGAAAGCATAACCAGGAAATGACATCAGAAGAAGGCCTTGGACTCTTTGCCCTGTTGTTGGACCTCCAGAGGAACTGGTTGGTCACTGTGTGAGATAGGATGCTGGATCAGATGGTCTGATCCAGCAAGGTTCTTCTCGTGTTCTTATGACTGTCCAGGGATTGGTGCTGTTGGCAGTATGCAGATGGCACCTAACTCTGTCCTGTCCAGATCTGTAGCAAGGATTTTGTGACTTCTGGGGCAAGTTTTTTTCTGGTGAGGCTGAAGTTCTCAGAGCAGAAAGAAAAGCCATTTAGCCAATAGAAAGCTGTTACTAGGATAGATCTCTAAATTGCAAGCTGTAGACCACTTTAGATGACAGTTCTCAGCTGCTGAAAATAAATCACTTCTGCCAGCCTAAGAAACAATTCTGAGAACAAGCCGGCAGGTGGGGGTGATGACTTCTATAGTCAAAAAAGCTAACACTTAGGCAGAAAAACTCTCGTAAAGGAGACCGATTTAGTGACACAGAGGTCAAGAAGGGATCCTAGACGTCACCTACACCAACCCTCTTGCTGAGTGTGGTAGTTAGTCAACTACAGCCCCCCGCTCTGCTTAAAAGAGTGCACGCCTTTTAAAAAATATTTTTAAATGAATGAAAAAAGCATTTACAGGAGAAATTCTTGTGGGGCTGTGCCTTTACGAAAGGGGACGGAGCCCCCAAAAGCCCCACCGTAGCTATGGGCCTGGGCCTGTACATGGAAGGTGTGCAGGTGATTCATAAGTGTGTGGGGCCAATTATGACCTTGACGGGGAGGGTGGAAATAAACTGAAGCTTAACCTGCTCCCAGAAAACTCAGTTTTGCAACTTGGCTGTGATCCCGGATCTCGATTCCGTACCTGTACTTGCAGGGAGTGGCAGTGGCCAGGAGAGCCTTGTTCTCAGCCAAGGCTGGACATCAAACGATCTGGCCACAGTCACATCTGCTCTGGTGACCTCTAAGCAATGTTCCCTCTAAGCTGTGGAGTCTTGTGAGCAAAAATTCTGCTTTCTGAGCTACTGGCTTTAAAGTTGTGAGCGAGCGATTTGGCTACTGCATAAATTAGTTTGCTCTGGAGTCCTCCTTCCTGAGCTAAGACAAAAATGTGTGAGCCGGAGGCTAAAAAACTGTGAGCTAGCTCGCACTAACTCAGCTTAGAGGGAACACTGCCTCTAAGTTGTATTGGTTATATTATTCCGATGTGCTGTGTGTGCGGTTGCCTTAAAAATGTGTTTTCTGAGGTTGGGGGTGTGGAATCCTTTCGAAAGCTGTGTTGGAAAAATTTGCTGTTATCTGACTTGGCAATGCTGTACAAGTGGCATCTAAAATGGAAAACGAGATTCTGACGAGGATTCTAGGATCTGGGAGACCCAAACCTAGTCTGCCATGGAAGCTTGGCGAGTGACCTTGGGTCAGTCACACTCTCTCAAGCCTAACCTACCTCACAGGGTTGTTATTGGTGTGGCTAAAATGGAGGTGAGGAAAATAATTTAAACGGCTTTGGGTCCCCACTGGGAAGAAAGGGCAGGGTACAGCCCAGATTAGTCCGATCTCCTCAGATCTCAGAAACTAAGCAGCATTGGCCCTGGCTAGTATTGGGATGGGAGACCTCCAAGGAATACCAGGGTCGTGACATGGAGGCAGGCAATGACAAACCTCAAGAACAGCTGTTCTTGAAAAAGAGCCGTTTTTGTCAAGAGCTCTCTCAGCCCCACCTACCTCACAGGGTGTCTGTTGTGGGGAGGGGAAGGGAAAGGAGATTGTAAGCCGCTCTGAGACTCCTTCGGGTAGTGAAGGGTGGGGTATAAATCCAATCTCCTCCTCCTCCTCCTCACATCCCTTGCCCTGAAAACCCTATGGGGTTGCTGTAAGTCAGCTGTGACTCGGTGGCAGAAAATAAAAGAGGTATATATGAATGTTGACTGCAACAGGTCTCCTCTGTCCGGTCCATGACTTAACTCCACTGTGGGCAATACCACCAAACATTTTTAAGCTAACAAGCAAACTTGAATGAATGAAAGAAAAACCCAAGAGCAAGGGATGCCAACAGCATCCTCAGTACACACCTGGGGGGATTATGAACACGCAGGATCGTGCTCTGCCTCTTGGTGAATAGAAAGGAACTTCATGGCAAGCCTAATTCCCTATTCTTGATTGGCACGCCAGGAGAGGAGACCACACATGTTATGCAACACAGAGACCTACTAAAGGCAGGAGTTATGCGGAGGCAGATGTAAAATTCTGCAGGGTCTAATAAAGGGTAAGCAACCTACCTCTCTCCTCCTGGAAAGCTATGATAGTGTGGATGAAGCATCTGCGCAGTTCACAAAATGTCCCCTGTGGGTGCTATTCCCGGTTGGATACTCATGCATAGTACTGTGATTCATTACAGCCTGCATCTGTGGATCATGGGGCTGAATACTTTGACCCCCTTGGGCCCCTCCTTGTTTTACAGAAAACAAAGAGGCCACAAGAGCATGAACCGGAAGGGTCCAGGGCATGTCTGAGGTTCTGTTGCTTTTTTTTGGTGGTGTAGTAGTTTGTACGACACATCTTCAAGCTCCAGAGCGTGTTCCCCATTTGTAAACCCAACAGCACTTACCCTCAATACATAGGTTATTTATTTATTTAGCCCATTTTTAATGCATATGAAATACTTATGTTTGGAACCTGATTTAAACTTTTTAGGGAAAAGCAATATAGCAATATATTAGAAGAGATTTTATTACGGCATCCGGCCAGAACAATCCAAACACTTCAGCAAGGGGCACAATAGCAATATATTAAACTAGGAATAAGGCTCGTTGTGGAAATAAATACAACGAACTCTAGAAAGAAGCTCCGGGCCGGTGCCCTGGCCTTGGGCACTCAGCGTCAATTTGCTGTGATGACCTCAGCAGGGTATAATGACACAGAGCTTACTGTTTTCTCCAGGGGAACTGATCTCTACCATCTGAAGGGCAGTTGTAATTCTGAGTGATCTCCAGCCCTCCCCTGGAGATTAGCAACAATTGTTCCTCAGGAGATGGCTGGTTTGGAGGGTGGAGTCTATGGCACTGTACCTGTCTGAGGTCCCACCCCCTTCTCAAACCCCACCATCTCCAGGCTCCACCCCTCAAATCTCCAGGAATTTCCATTCCTAAAAGGTTGG